GTAGAGCCCAAAGGAGAGGAATGAAAGTTGCCAAACTGGAATCCATAAATTGGGTATCAATATCTCTCATCAAATTTAGATGTTCCTGATATTCTAGATTGTCATAGTCAAATCGTGTCCCATGTAACATCCGACAGATGATATTTGCCACAGCACGAGTTAAAGTACCATTGATGTCTGTTGGAATACCACTTGTCTGTTGAAGGGTCTCTATCAGGAAATCGCATTCTTCTTGAATCAACAGTTCTCCCTTAGTCTTTCCCATTCCCATTCTCTGAAGAGCAACAATTGTAAACTTCCTCACAGATTGCCACATCGGTGTGGGTGCATCAATTCATTCATAATTCATTTTCAAGTGTATTTCGTGGTTGTCAGGCTAACACGTTATTGGTAGCTTGGGCACTTTCATGTACAGCCATACACACTTCATTAGGATTATCATAAAAACAAAAAAGTCATAGAAACGCATACTAGCTTTCAAATACACCAGAATAATAAGCAGATATACAGTGAAAAATCCTACATCAGTTACAAGAATAATACACAAGTGTCATCCAACTTAAATTTCTTATAGTTTAACACTAACTTTGGGTGATGGACTAAATGATTAAGACTGTAGACTGGACCCGTGCATACACGATCAACCTTAGCATTGGATATAATTATGGTTTGATATGAAATATATACACATTCAACTTTTATCATGGGTTAATAAAACATATTGGGAGTGAAAGTACTTAATTAATTCGTGACGGGAAAAGGACTTGTCAATTGTTTTAGCGGGAAGGTTAATTCACATTACATATAAGATTAATAATATTTTGATTGCCGCCTTATGTAATAACATATCATGAAGAGTAATCATACTGTTAATAAGGAACTGATTCATATCAAACGTCATTGTGTAAATACCAGCATAAATATGGGGTAGCGAGTTCAGCATATTTTGATAGTCAAATCTAAAAGTCACTTCATTTCAGAAGTTTTGTAAATATGTAGTCTCTAAACACATTGATTGCCTTGCCGGAGGTGAAATCGCATTGTTATAAAAAAAACACTGCTGTAAATCTGCGCAGGATTCATTTAACTACAGGCGAGAGGCGGATGAAAATGAAGTGGACCTCCATTATTGAGCACGGTCATCCAATGCATCGATGACATTTGTACTATCACTGGCAATGCTATGGTTATCATTACTGTATGGAGCAACAAAAATTGTTTGCTTCACTGTCAAAATGCCTTTGAAGTAAAACAAGTGTTGTGTTAAAACGTTTTTTGTTCGTCAACAATGCGAAAAAACAATGAAATCTGTCAACAAAAGTCAACAAAAGAATTATGACCCAAAAAATAAATACAAAAAAAATATTTAGCAGTACGTCATGTCAGTGGAAGCTGCGAGGCCAGAGGTTGACATGAAGTCGACATGTTTGTGAGATAAAGGTGAAAAGGTTTATTTATTATTTACAATTGTATTTTTTATTCCGCTTGGCATGCTGGAAGCGTCTAAGTCTTGTTTGCTTTTTTTGTAGATTTGCGAGGCTGGTTGATCGCACTTGAGGTATGTAAACAGGGAGTTGGGACAGGAAGTCGCATACCGCCGCACCGTTCACAGGTCAGCAATAGTAACTTGTCAATCAAGAAGCAACGTAAACGCGTTGGTCGGCTTCCTATATATCAAAATCGTTTGTTGAGTATGTTCCAGCATTGACAAAGCACTTAAACACTATCTAGCCAAGACTGTCTGAGTAAGAAAAAGCGAAATAAAACGAAAATGACCACAAAAGAAGGATCAAATCTACACCAAAATGTCATAAAAATGTACGTGCATAATGTTTGAAAATATGTTTATTTTTATCTGGTCAACTGTTTTTTTTTCAGATTTTTCCCAATAACTAGGGCGAAGGTGTGACCTACCTGTTGCGTTTGAGCGAAATCGGCCAAGCCGAAAAAATCACAGAAGAACTACTACTACTACTCTATGTATTCCTGAGTCGAGCTCACAAGCTTCCACCGGGACCAATTGGGTTGCCTATTTTAGGAAGGCTACTTTCCCTTGGTGAGACGCCACACCAGGCATATCATCGATGGTATAAAAAGTATGGAGACATTTATAGTTGTCGACTGGGTACTGAGCTAGTCATTGTTTTAAACAACGCAGAAGTTATAAAGAAGTCTTTCTCTGAAGATTCTCTCGCCGGAAGACCACCAAATTGGACTCTGGCAAAAATCAGCAACCGGAAAGGTAATGTAGTAATGATTATTGGTTTGAGATAATACATATGTAATGACAGTCGCATATATTTTTAGTTACATTCAGTAGTGTTCTTCCCAGGCCTTTCATCAGTATCACGGTACTGTTACGCTTGGATACTCATCCGTGATGTTTATTGCTTGCTTTAAAAAGGTCAGTTTCGTCTTACATAAATGTAATGATGATTTAGTAGCGTAGACTATGGTGACATAATGACATCGCAACCGATGCAAGATGTCCGTGAAGAGTGCTCGATTTCTCTGCGATCTTTAAAAACAACATCTTGTCGCCAATTGTAATGAACTCCATAAGTTATCGTTAATTAATAGTTCAATATATTAATGTGAATGGATGATGTTCATTTTATCAGAGCAATTCTAACAAATTATTCACTCTCTCTGAGAGTGTATTTCTATGTACGTGCATATAAAGACTATTCCTAATATTTTTATCAAAAATATTGATTGTGCATCTATACCCTTTGTATGAAACATACATGCAGGGACTACAATTTGTGATAGGTGACATTTTATAGTTATCAGACAATTTTAAAATATGGAAATCATAATTATAGCTGAATATTCCTATTCAATAGCAGACACTCTAACACTAATTACAGTAAAAATATTAAGTGGGCACCTTTACAATTTATAGAATATAAAACTATCTACAATTTACGATAGGCGACATTTAATAATTAGCAGACAATTTCAAAATATGGAAATCATATTCATGGTGTATTTCACTTATGTACCAGCAGTCACTCGTTAATTTTGACAGTAACTACAGAACAGTGTGCACCAAACCATTCATGTGATATCAAGTATACACCCCAGAGGGAATATAAATTGCTGTATGTGTTCAATTAAGTAAATTATTTATCTTGCAACCAATGTTATAATAAGTGTTTCTTCCAAATTCAATGGGAATATTAGACTGGGTTTCAATGTCAACTCAACTCAGCGAATTGTTGCACAGTCTAATACACATTTGTAAACATACCAATAAAATACATAAACTATCCTAACAGAAAATATGATGTCAGATAATCCAATGAATATCCCATTTTATATGCCAGGCTTTTGATCAAGATCTGTGGGTAATAGAAAATTATGCCTGTTTAGTTTAAAGTTATCAAATCAAAAATAATTCCATATCTGTTCAATTTACATTCTATTTACATTCATTCTGAGCTTGTAATGGTTTTTTTCGACGTGTTGCACCTCAGTTGAATGCAAGTTGGCATATATTTGCGATTCGAGAGCGAGTTTATGAAAACCATACCATGTATAGTCCTCTGCAAATATTTTTGCTATACTTGAATTAATACATGTTTTCCAAAAAGTACACCAATATGTCATTCACACTGTAGTTCAAACTTGAAAATATATTCTGCCATGACTTTAATCCCGTTCCTCAAAGAGTTATTCCGCCCTCAACGTGAACCATAAATTATATCCTCTTGCATGCAAATGTGCTACCCCAATATGTGCCTGAATTATATCCCCCTCACACAGAGATGTGCTAATATTACCCCAATATATGTAGGTATTCTTGATTATATCTCCCTGAACAGGTTTTCAATATGTGATGTGAAGTGATGTGAAGTATACCCCTCAAAAACAATGAATAATATTTCCCTTGTAAAGCGATATTTTCCCCCAATATGTGTAATGAATTATACCCCCTCACATATATTATGTTAACAAGATGGGCTATAATAGAATAAAACAATGCATCTACAATTTTTTCCTCCTGGTCTCCCAACTGGAAATTATGTCCTTGATTATCAATGTGTTTGTAAAGTTAATTACATCAATCAAGGTAGACCGTTTTCACAATGCTTTTTTCAATTCTAAAACATTAAAAATTAATTGTGATAATGCATATTCATATTGGACCAAACTATTATTTATAACTAGGAAATACTATTATATAACAAAGGACAAGGTCACCAATATTGAACTATGTTGTATGTACGTGTCCAGTATACAATCTCACTCATTGGCGGGTGGATGTTTGGTTCTGTCAACCACCCAAACACTGTTATAAATTAGTATTAAACTATAGGTCCAAAATAAGAAGTTTCAGTTGGATGACATATTATAGAACGAAAAACAGTGACAATGCAATTGTTTATTATTCTTGTTTACTTAGTAACAGGTCAAGGATTTGTCACTGTATATATGCTTATTATTCTGCTTTATTGAAAAGCTAATAAGAGTTTCTTTGACTTACTAGCGCCAACACTTTTTGTTTTTATGATAATCCTAATGAACTGTTTATGGCTGTACATGAAGGTGCCCAAGCTAACAATGGCGTGTTAATCCTACAATGAGACATGCATTTTTTGCTATTATAGGTTATACTTAGGTGATATAATATTATTGTGATATTTATATATTTGTACACAATTTTATTCTCTATGATAGGAGTATTTGATGCACCCACACCGATGTGGCAATATGTGAGGAAGTTTACAATTCTTGCTCTTCAGAAAATGGGAATGGGAAAGACAAAGGGAGAACTGTTGATTCAAGAAGAATGCGATTTTCTGATAGAGGCCCTTCGACAGACAAGTGGTATTCCAACAGACATCAATGGTACTTTAACTCGTGCTGTGGCAAATATCATCTGTCGGATGTTACATGGGACACGATTTGACTATGACAATCAAGAATTTAAGGATCGTCTAAAGATGACGAGAGATATCGGTACCCAATTAATGGATTCAAGTTTGGCAACCTTTATTCCTCTCCTTTGGGCTCTACCATCAAAGCAACGTCGCGAGTTACAAAGTAATTACAATAAATTAAAACAATAGTATACACAGTGTTTAGCTCACCATCGACAGATATTCAAACCTGGTGAGGAGGAGCCAACATCGATGTTTGACATTTATCTCAAAGAAGAATGGAAATATTTGAAAACGCCCGTTGCTGAACGAAAAGAGTACATCTTTGATGATTCTGAACAATTCCCATGTAATTGTATCAACATAATGATTGCAGGTACGGACACTTCTACGCAGGCTCTACTATGGGCGGTGCTCTACTTGAGCTTATTTGAAGATATTCAGCAGTGTTATTTTGATGAGATCAGTTCAAGAATGGAAAATTATACGGCACCGTGTTGGTGAGACAGGACATTCTTCCATATCTTGATGCATTTATCTTAGAGACACTTCGTGTTTCCACAATATTGTATGTCGATATAAAATCAACATCTGACGATACACAATTATGTGCTTATACAGTTCCAAAGGGCACAATGGTTTTTGCTAACTGGTGGTCTGTCCATTATGATGAGAAGACTTGGGCGAATCCAGAAGAGTTTAACCCACAACGATTCTTAAATGATCTGGTGACGTAGTAAACAGAGATTTGATTTTCCCATTTGGAATAGGTGAGTGGTACTACTACTATTTGGCCTGGAATCACAAAGTTATAGAAATTTGCATTATAGACAAATGGTTTAAATCAATTCTTGGAATATTCATCTATTTGTTTTTTTTTGTTTTATTGACCCTTGTTCGAAAAGAATGTGACATTGTTTTATTTTGTTTCAGGCCAACGAGATTGTATTGGTTCAGACTTGGCACGTATGGAAATATTTCTGTTTTTGAGCAGAATGATTCAGGAGTTTGAATTCAGATTCCCAACTGATCGTCCCAAACCATCGATGGCTGGACGCTTTGGAATCCTCAATCTAGCGCCTGCATATGACGTCATTGTGAAGAAACGAGTGATTGGAACATAGCCTTACTCACACCTGATGGTTTATTTCAATTTTCGGCGAATGCTTTTCGGCCTTGTTAACGCACTAGTCTCTTTTTCTTTTTTCTTTTATGGTGCATATTTTGTTGATAGGTCTTAAAGTTGAGATTTTAATTTATGCAAAATCATGGGAGCATGTACATATTGTACAGGACGTTTTGGCTTGTTTAAGGAAGGCAAGATTAACCGGAAGACCTTCAAAGTGTTTCTTTGGTTTTACTAATACTTTTACTGTAAGTATTGTCATATTTACCGAGTGGCTGTTGGTACACAAGAAAAACATCAATATTACTTCTATATTTTGAAATTGTTTGCTAATTATTAAATGTCACTTATCACAAATTGTAGTCAGTACATGTATATTTCATACCACATGAGTGGTTTAGGAGTATACTCAGTATTTTCAATGTATTTAGTGCCCTAATTAGTGACTGCTAGAAAATATGGAAGTTCTACCATAATTATGATTTCTTTATTTTAAAATGTCTGATGAATTATTAAATGTCACCTATCCCAAATGTTAGTCAATACATGTATATCTCATACCTCATGAGTGCACACTCAATATTGTAATTTGTGCCTAATTAGGAGTGTCTGCTAAAAAATATGGAAGTTCTACATTAATTATGATTTTCTTATTTTGAAATTGTCTGCTAATTATTAATTGTCACCTATCGCAAATTCTGGCATATTTATACGTGATTGGGAGTTACAAATACAAATCAATTTTCAAATGCGCATCAAAACAAGAAATACAACATTCCTATAAGTTGCGCCCTCTGGTGCTGTGACGCTTCTGTGAAGTGGATGAAGGCATTTGTTTTCAAAACGTGTTGTCGTTCGTCATCAAATTATAGGAACTTTGAAAAACATAATCATTGTTCATGGACGACTACAGATCAAAACGATATCGAGGTCTTTGTCATAGATCGATTCGTCGCTAGAGGGCGCGCCGTCCAGGGAAGGTGTATACCGAACCCTTTCCACACATTACATGACTCGTCAACTCTTTATTTCATGATTCACATAACGATAAATAGTTGCTTGCTTTCCCAGGTTGGATATATTATATACGATTAGATGTTAGATTATTTTTCAGAATAATCCGGCTGAAAATTTGTGCGAATGAATTTCACTAAGGCATGAACGGCTTTTCGGAACCCAATCTCCAGCATACATAGATGGATTCTATTCAAACTTGAACGTTGAACAGCCGACTGGTTGCCACTTTGTTTCAAAGAATGCAATTCCTGATTCATATGTTTGATATGCCTTAATCGACCAAGTTCATGTGGCACACATTCACCACTACATGTTAGGAACGCACATGTATTTTGTAACGATCAAATTCAAAATCATATGGCTTTCTGGCGGTCATTTTGTTTAAACGAATGCAGTTCAACATAGCCATATCTCATACATGCCTGAACCAATCAAGTTTAAACTTGTAACGTACATTACACATTAAGTCATATATATCTATTACGCAACTACAATACAAACACTGACTAGGTCATTGACAACTTTTTCAGTTGCTTTTGGTCCTGAACTATATTGATCAAATTTTACCAATCCAGTATTAACGAAGTTCGTGGTCGGCTGAACAGCCAACCTCGCGTGAAAGTACGGGGAGTCAAGTCAAGTCCTCTAATAATAAAAAAAAAAACATGGCTGCCCCAGAGGTTTTATCGGACCCCTTACACAGAAGTTTACTAAATATGTTCTAAACTTGTTTTGATTTCGGCATTCCCATGATGTATACTAATAAGGTTAATACGAGGATACTGCAAAGTACGCATTTTACAGTACGCGACCGATACTCCCGGTTGTCTGCGTGCATACTTTGCAGTATCCTCATAATATTCTGATATCATCAATCGTACTGAAAATGCGAGACGCCATGCATCGTCGTTTACCGCGCCCTCTTGTGGCAATGACGCCATGATGATGGATGCAATGAACAACAATTTCTTGAGATTGTCATTTTTACAAAATATACGACCACGTGATATACGGCAATGTTTGTACGCAGTACCATGATTTTTTTTTTTTCAATTTTAGCCAGAGCATTTATCAACTTAAATCAAATGCGGTGTTTTTTCTCCGGGAGTTACTTCCATTTGGTAAATACATAACAGTGTGCTGAAAACTGAAATTGAGACTGTTTTTTTTTTAATCGTCAAAAGTGGAGAATCTTTTAAAGTAGTCTACATTGTATGTGTTCAGTCTGGGCTCCAAGTTCGTGGCCAGCTGTGGTTAGTTCGTGACAATCGTCAAAACTTCTTTCCCAAGAATAAAATATCGCTATTTCTGTGGGTGACAAAAACGGTTTTCGTGAAAATATCTTTTTTGAGTTGGTCGCACTAGAAACTCATGTTAAAAAAAACGAATCATGTCAACTGATAAAGGGGGATACGTTTTTCTCAAAATTTTGTGAAAAGGGTTTCCCATTTTCGTATTTCGACTGTTTCGACTGTACTTGATATCCATATTTGTAGCACGTTTTTGCACCGATTTTCAATTTATCATACAACAAATCGTTTGACATTATGCTCGGTATTGTTCATTATTTGTACTCAATAACAATTCAAACGTGTTTCTCATTACAAATTAGGGAATCACCAATTAATCTGGCCTGGGGGTGCCGGGCAATTCTAAGGGGGGGCCTTTCCATTTTCTGTATATGAAAAAGGGGGGCTAACAATTTTTCCAAGAGTGAAGGAGGGGGGGTTGGGTTATAATTTTCTGGGTTTATTCACATATATTGTATAGACGACGGCTGCTGTGATTAACATACTGCAAAGAGAAAGAGTTATTGTTTGTTTGTTTGTTTGTTTGTTTTATTGCACAACAATAACTTAATCAAATTAGTATAAAACATGAAACTTCATTCGTAAACAACAGTATAAACCTCTGTAAATAGCATAAAAAAACTTACTGCACTTTCCACTGTATGAAGAAAAACAAACCTTTTAAACAAGTTTGTGAAAAGCAAACACACTAATATAACACAAAATATAAAGATAAAATATATTTATATAGTGTAATATTTTGTATGTAAATAAATAAAATATATATGAAAAAAGTTTTCATATTTTTTAATAAAACACAACTTTCTGAGGAACTGTAGATATTGAACCTAGGCATCTATTTTTGATCCTCTCCAATCCTATCAATCTCTATCCTCGTCGCAAAGAATGTCAGTATCGGCACTATCACCAGGATCATTAGAACCACTTTCACCATCCTCATAACTCTCTCCACTGGAACAGGCATTCATATTTTAACTTCAGTTCTTCATACAGCTTCATCATCGCAAAGAATGTCAGTATCGGCACTATCACCAGGATCATTAGAACCACTTTCACCATCCTCATAACTCTCTCCACTGGAACAGGCACTCATATTTTAACTTCAGTTCTTCATACAGCTTCATCATCTGCTGCTTAGCTGCAGCACAGAAGACATTGCGATGAATGAGGTATTGCAAATATACTGCATCCATCTTTGACAACTTCAAATTGGCTTCAGTTTGATCTGAGATTTCAAAATCTACTGAACCATGTATACCATCAGGGAAACATCTTTGTACTACCTCAGTGGATGTTATCCTTTGTAACAAAGCTGTAACTCCTCTTGTAAAACGATCTCGTTTTCGCTTCTTCACTTTTCTCCTGTTTTCTTTTCTCTACTTATTCTTCTTTTACTTACATCTGACAGTCCATGAAATACATTTCTTAACCAAGTCAGTGTTTTATCAAGATCTGCCATGAACTCAGTACATTGGCTGCAGTTCACTCACCATGCTGTCATTGTAAGCCGTCTGTTCAGTAGCCCACTGTTTTAGGTGTCTTCCATAACTGGTAAATAAGTCAGAGTAACTTTCCCCAACCAGTGACAAACAGTGAGAGGCCGTACCACTTCTTAAGCGTGCATGAGACCCCATGTGTGAATAGTAATAGTGAAAGAAGACAGCCAGATGATTGGCAGCCGCGTTTCACGCAGAATTTCAAAATGGGCTTTTATCTTTGGTGAATACTG